TCAAACAGGTAGATTAGCAGCCATTACACAGATGAAAACTTAGAAACTCTCATTTATAGAAAGCAGCAATATTGTTACTGTCATATTTCTAGATGCAAGGTTTATGGACAAAATTTTATTTATTTTTTTTAAAATGTAAAACTTTATTCAAATGTTGGAGTGGCACCTTTAACCTACATTCCCAGCAAGCACCCTAGCTTATATTTTTCCTTCTTCACTAACTTCCTGTTATCTTGGTAAGTCTCTTCTATGGACAAAATTTTAAGTGATGAAAGCAGCTAATACATGTAAGAATATTAAATATTAAAAAACATTTGAGATTCACCCAGCCCCCCACACTTGTGGTCTGCCAGAAAAAGGGGAATGCCTGCCCTAACTGGTTTGGCTCAATGGATAGAGCGTCGGCCTGTGGACTGAAAGGTCCCAGGTTCGATTCCGGTCAAGGGCATGTATCTTGGTTGCAAACACATCCCCAATAGGAGGTGTGCAGGAGGCAGCTGATCGATGTTTCTCTCCCATCGATGTTTCTAACTGTCTATCCCTCTCCCTTCCTCTCTGTCAAAAATCAATAAAATATATTTTTTTTAAAAGGGGGGGGAATGCCTTTTTTTCTGTTTGTCAATATTATTTACTTCAGTTTCTACTGTTCCTTTACATACAGTGTCTGCCATTCAATAAAAAATTATGAAACATGCAAAGAAGCAAAAAATGTAACTCATTGTTGTGAGAAGAAGCTTCAACAGAGCTGACCCACAAATAGCACATATGTTAGGATTATCAGACAGGGATTTTAAAATAACCATTAAAACTGTTAAAGAATCAAGTGGAAAAAGCAGATCACATGTACAAATAGGAAATTTCAGCACAGAGAAAATACACACACATGACAAAATATATCAGTGGTTCTCCCAACCTTTTTTTGGCTATGCCCCACCTAAGTATCTCTAAAATCCTAATGCTCCCCGCTGTGACATACAATTCTTATTAAAAAAGTGAACTCCTATTCACATGGAGGAAGCCTAAAAGGCCATTAAGTTGGTCTAAACAAGCTTCCAAAGAACATGGCATCCATGAAAGAGAAAAATAAAAGAATGAAAGGATAGTTGAAGTACTAGTACTGAGGAAGAAAGCACTAAGAAATTGTTTTAAAACAAAAATAATATGAAGTGATATGAAAAAATAGCAAAGTTTCAAAACATAATAGAGAACTGAATGCATAAATAGGTCATGACATATATTTATATACTGTCTATGAGGCCCCTAGAACCATAAGAAATGCAAAAAATTCACTGTTAATAACTCATTCTCGAATTGGCCCCCTTAAAAATCAAATTGCCCCCCGTGGGATGTGTGCCCCACGTTGGGAACCACCAAAATATATGTATATACTGAAGTGCTAGAATGTTTTTTTTTAATGTATCAGAAATAAGTCTTTCAGTGAGGTTTATCAACAGACTGGCATAATAAAGAATCAGTCAAGTTCAAGTAAGGTCAATATAAATTATAGAAAGTAATATACAAAAAGAGTTAGGGGGCAGTATGGAAAAAGGGCCATACCAAACCTGACAATGTCACAGTTTAATATATGTTTAATGTAACTGGAGTCCCAGAAGAGAAAGAAATAGAGAAAAGGGGAGGAGAAATACATGAAGAGACAAGAGCAAAGAATGTTTGATTTGGTGATATATATCCAAACCTCCAGAAGCAAAGCAAACCCCAAGCAGGATAAACATAAAGAAACCCACATCTGGCCCTAACCAGTTTGGCTCAGTAGATAGAGCGTCGGCCTGCGGACTCAAGGGTCCCAGGTTCGATTCCGGTCAAGGGCATGTACCTCGGTTGTGGGCACATACCCAGTGGGGAGTGTGCAGGAGGCAGCTGATCGATGTTTCTCTCTCATCGATGCTTCTAACTCTCTCTCCCTCTCCCTTCCTCTCTGTAAAAAAATCAATAAAATATATTAAAAAAAAAAAAAAGAAACCCACATCTAGGCACCTTATATTCAAACTGCTGACAAAGTTGGGGGTGGGGTGAAGGGATGGGGAATAACTGCTTAATGGGTACAGGATTTATTTGGGGTTGATGAAAATGTTTTAGAACTAGAGAGATGTGAAGGAGGCACATTGTGAATGTACTTAATGCCACTGAATTATTGAGTTTAAAACGGTTACTTCTGTTATATGCATCTCTCTTAATTTTTTTAAATGAGGAGAAAAAAGACATGAATATATAATTCTCAAAACAAAAAAAAGATACAAAATGGCCCTTACACATATCAAGATGATAACTTCACTCATAAGAGAAATACAAAATAGAATTATGCCAATATACAATTCCCCACCCATTAGACTGGCAAAAGTTTGAATACTAAAATGTTGAGAAACAGGCACTTCCATAAATTGCTAGTAGGAAGGCAAAACCCTTAAAGGGTACGTGGCAATAACTGTGGCAGACAGATACTAAAGTGGACCCCACTTCCTGGTGTTCACTCCTTTTTATAATCCCCTCCCTTTGAAAGTGTACAGGACATAGAATTGCTTCTAACCAACTTATATCACTCCTGTGATTTAAAAAAAAAATATTTTATTGATTTTTTACAGAGAGGAAGGGAGAGGGATAGACATTTAGAAACATCGATGAGAGAGAAACATTGATCAGCTGCCTCCTGCACACCTCCTACTGGGGATGTGCCCGCAACCCAGGTACATGCCCTTAGCTGGAATCGAACCTGGGACCCTTCAGTCCGCAGGCCGACGCTGTATCCACTGAGCCAAACCAGTTAGGGCAACTCCTGTGATTTTTTTATGTTACATTATGAAAGACTCCATTTAGAGCCTATCTGTTCTAGATTTTTCTTGCTAACTTGATAAAGTGGCCATTTGTGAAAAAGAACTGCGAGGCCTCTAGGAGCAGAGACAAATTTTTATTGTTTTCAAAGAGGACATGTATTCTAGATCTCATCATGAAGAAACATCAATGTCAAACAGGAAAATTCTATAAAATAATTTCCTCGTATTCTTCAAAAATGTCAATGTCATAAAGTCAGGCAAAAGGCCAAGGAACTGTTCCAGATTAAAGACTAGGACATTAGACAAGAGAAGGCAATGTGGCACTGAAGCAAGATGCTATCTATGCTATTGGTTTTGAAGTTGGAGGAAGGGAACCAAGGGAATAAAGGAAAGCAGCTCAGCCCAACTAAAACCTTGATTTTAGTCCAGAAAAACTGATGTGAGATTTCTGATCTCTAGAGCTCTAAGAGAATAAAATGTATGTTCTAGACAAACAAACAAACAAGCAAACAAAAGATTAAGACGTTATAATCAAATGTACTACAATATCCTAGATTGGATTCTAGACTGGACAGAAAAATGAATGTTATAAAGGACATTATCAGGATGATTTATGAAACTTGAATATAGGCTATAAATTAGAAAACAGTATTCATAGTTAATTTTCCTTAATGTGATAATTGCACTGTGTTTATGTTAAGAGAATATAAGAGAATATCATTGTCCTTAAGAACATACATATAAAGTAGGGAAGGTAGGAGGCAGGAAAGTAGAAAAAAGAAATAATAAAGCAAATGTAAAATGTTAAGAATTTATGAATATAGGTAGAGTATATGAGAGCTCTCTGTACAAATTCATACATCACATCTGTAATTCTAAAGTTATCCTATATAATAAAAGGGTAATATGCAAACTGACCGAACAGCAGAACGACTGGTCACTATTAACCACACTGATCACCAGGGGGCAGATGCTCAACGCAGGAGCTGCCCCCTGGTGGTCAATGCGCTCCCACATGGGGAGCACCGCTCAGCCACAAGCCGGGCTATGGCCGGCGAGCACAGGGGTGGTGGCGGGAGCCTCTCCTGTCTCTGCGGCAGCGCTAAGGATGCTAAGGATGTCCAACTGCAGCTTAGGCACGCTCCAACAGAGGGACCCCCCCCCCGCCCCCCCCCCCCCCGTGCATTGATGTCGTGCAAACTGGGCCTCTAGTTTCAAAATAAAAACTTTCTTTAAAAGAGAGAAAGAAGACACACACACACACACACACACACACACACACACACACTGAAATTTCTTAAAGATGTCATTCACTGAAGAAGGGAAGGAGATGAGGAAAAGGAACCTATATATGAAAAACTGAATTCCATCCAGTGGTTCTCCTTATATAATCTCTACATCAGGAGTTTCTAACCTGATATCCAGAGACCCAAGGGGTCTATGAAAAGAATTCACTGAATCTATGATGGGAATAGGAAAAAAAATTACGCTTTAATTTCATTAACCTTTAACTGATACTTTTCAATTATAAACGCAGGCAACAAATAGTAGTTTTGGGAGTACCTATACTGTTATCAACGATAGAAATCACATGTTTTCACTTCATATTAGTTACTGAAATTCTAAAACTAACATATGCACTGTTCAGTATTTTCAAAATACAGTAATTCTTACTGCTAGATTTTAATGCAATACAAGAGAAAGAGCAGCTTTTTAAGTTTTTGATAACTGTATTTCAAAATAACTGGTTTCTTGGGAATCCTATGTATTTTATCTTATACATTTATATATGTTATTCTCATAGGCTTCAGACTGTTCAAGGTTTCAACATAAAAAAGTAAAGAATCTGCTGTAAGGTATCAATCCCTCATTTGCTTACAAGGATGTCATAATGAGGAAAATTAAAACAGTTTGCAGCTTTTTGCTCTGCCATAAAGCAAATGATAAAGACAGCATTGATAATGAACATTCAATCTAACCCTCTCATTATTTAAATTCTAATTTCCAGTATGTGCTAAAGCAAAATTTTTTCACATTAACTGCAACCTCACATAAAGCATCCAAGAACAAATATACCACCACACACCCACACATGAAAAAAATACAGGCACAAGTAACTATAAAAATGAATCAAGACTGTGAAATGCCTCATAGAAAAACTCAGTGCTTACGTATCTTAAAGAAATTGGTTAAAAACAAGATACTATTTACCATCTCTCTTTTGGAAAATTTTTTAAAATTTCTTTAATGATTGGCTGGTAGCAGGCATCCCTTTCTGCTTTTCCACTTTCACACCAGTCTCTCACAAACTGTTTCAATGTGGATTTTAACTTATCCATGTCAAATGTAGATGCTGGCATAATCTTCCCATTCCCCTGTTTAAAAAAGAGAAATCAATTAGTTTCTGAGAAAAGTAATCAATCTTGAATATAGTTAAATAGACATGCTACTAAGAGACTATATAGATGGTTTAGTGGATAAATCACTGGCCTCTCACCTCAGCAGGGTTTGAGTGCAGCTTGAAATCCTAAATGAAAAGTTTGGTGGTCTCACTTCTACCCTCAATAGATTATGGTCCATTAATCATGAAACCACCATATAATTAAGCAGTCTTTACTCAGGAGAGGACAGCATTGCTATGGAGATCAAACATTCTCTAAGAAAGAAAAGAAAGTCCTTCCAGGTCATTGATGGGGCAGCATGGAGAGGCTCACAGTGGAGTGGCCCAACTGTATCTATCCTGTGGATAAAAAAGAGGACTTCAGTTTCTATTACTGCCAGTCCCTTGTGCTTTATAAGTGAAAATCATTTCTTAAAAGATGACTTGCCCTGGCCAGTATGGCTGTTAGCCAGAGCATCATCCTGTGCACCAAAGGGTCATGGGTTTGATTCCTGGTCAGGGCACATGCCCAGATTGTGCGTTCAATCCCTGGTTGGGGCACATGCAGGAAGCAGCTGATTGATGTTTCTCTCTCTCTCTCCCCACCTTCCCCTTTCTTTAGAAATAATGAAAATCATATCCTTGGGTGAGGGTTGAAAATAAAATAAAATAAACAAAAGATGACTATCAATAGATACAAGATACTGGGAACAATGAGTTTAGCAAGGGAAAGTAATTTTACATAACTACTAAAGTAGTTTATAAAAATTTAAGTCACTACTCTATATGCCAGAACACTGTGAAAGTGTATCAAAATGCCAAGAATTATCTTAGTATTTAAAGAAAAAAGTCAGTGAACAAATCCAGTTTTTGGCATACTGTTCTATTAAGCCTAATCAAATGACTGAATATACAAGTGGAAACATTCTCTAAGTAGAGCAAATGACCAATGCAAAATTATAAAAATGAAATCCAGAAAGATAAAGACCTCAAAATATTGAGATTAAACTCTAAAATAAAAACAAATAGAACAAATTTCACATACATTTTCTCCATATTCTTTATTTTCAAACATATGTATGCAATCATTCACAATGGTCAGTAGTATTTCTTGATTATGATCAATGCATTTCCGGATCTTGTCCAAGTGGAGAAGAAACTGAGGAAGGAGTTTCTGTTGATTAGCTGGAAGTGATCGAAATTGTCTTTCTGTTCGGTTCACTCGCTCATGCATACTGGTGCTAAAACATAAAAGGTGTTTTTTAAATTGGCAAAAAAATTCTCAGCAGAGGCCAATCTTATTTTAAGGTTGTCTTTCTGTACAATTATTCCCTTATAATCTACATAATAAAAGCCTAAGAGACCTTTATGGCGGAATGATTGGTCGCTATGACGCGCACTGACCACCAGGGGGCAGGCGCTCAATACAGGAGCTACCCCCTGGTGGTCAGTGTGCTCCCACTGGGGGAGCGCCGCTCAGCCGGAAGCCAGGCTCTCCCGCCTCCACAGCAGCACTAAGGAAGGAGCAGCGAGCAGGCGGGTGGTAAGGAGCAAGGGGTCCAGGACTGAGAGAGGGCATAGGCCAGGCTGAGGGACACCCCCTGCCATGCATGAATTTCGTGCACCAGGCCTTTAGTGTTGAATAATGTACTGTCACAATCTTTTGGTTCCCTAAAGCAGTGGTCACCAACCGGTGGTCTGTGGACTATTGGTGGTCCGTGAGGTCCGAAAGGTTGGCAACCGCTGGTTTAAGGATACCTTTGGAACAGCAGTCGCCAACCAGTGGTCCGCGGACCACTGGTGGTCCATGAGGTCCGAAAGGTTGACAACCGCTGCCCTAAAGGATATCCACTTAGAAAGTCTTAATATGTTTTCACCTTAGTACAAATTCTCTAAGCAGCCAAACAAAAGACAAACTGTTTATAACCAGTAAAAGTTATAAACACCAATGAGAAGAGGGGGACAAAATATTACAGAAAATTAGTGTACAGTATAAGTTTATTGTTATGATTTCAATTTTCAAACTTAAAATGTTCAGCAAAAGTAGCTGAATGCTTTAGATACCTCCATCAAGTTAACAGAATGCTGCTCTGAAATTGCTTTAGGATAAAAAACGTGTTTTGAAATTAACTAAGAGCCAACCAAGTTGAATTTTTCAAAATATCATAAAAGATACTAGAGGCCCAGTGCACGAATTCATGCATTGTGTGTGTGTGTGTGTGTGTGTGTGTGTGTGTGTTGTAGGGGGGAGGGCTGGATCTCTCAGCCCAGCCTGCGCCCTCTTGCAGTCCGGGACCCCTCGCTTCTTACCGCCCGCCTGTAACGGAGGCGGGAAAGGCTCCCCACTACCGCCGCTGTGTGTGCTTGCTGTGTGTGCTCGCCAGCTGTGAGCCCGGCTTCTGGCTGAGCAGCGCTCCCTCTGTGGGAGTGCACTGACCACCAATGAGCATCTGGTGGTCAGTGCGCGTCATAGAGACCAGTCGTTTCGCTGTTCAATAGATTTGCATATTAGGGCTTTATTATATAGGATTATGTATCACAAAGGTAGTAAACAAATTAAAAATTGAAATTCCATAGCATCTTACATGACAATATTCACACTTTGCATTCTTAAAGTTTCCAAAGAACTATGTCCTGGCTGGTGTGCCTCAGTGGCTAAAGTACAATCTCAAAGAGTCAAGGGTTCTATTCCTAGTCAGGTCACATATCAGGGTTTCAGGCTCTGGTTGGGGCATGTGCATGAGGCAACCCATCAACGTTTCTCTCCCCTTCTCTCTCCCTCTTCCCCCCTACCCTCTCCCCCTTCTTCTCTTTCTAGAATCAATGAAAAACATATTCTCAGGTAAGGATTAAAAGTTTCACGTTGGGAACTACCTATTTATAAAATCTGAAAAGAACATCATGCCCTAGCTGGTTTGGATCAGTGGCTAGAGAGTCGGCCTACGGACTGAATTCCGGTCAAGGGCACATGCCCAGGTTGCGGGCTTAATCTCCGGTGGGGGCGTGCAGGAGGCAATCAATCAGTGATTCTCTCCCATCATTAATTTTTCTATCTGTCTCTCCCTCTCCCTTCTTCTCTGAAATTAATAAAAATATATTTAGAAAAAAAATGAAAAGAACATCATTTTTTAAAGTTAAATGCTATACTCACAGTGAAATGGAATTTTACTTCAATCAGATGGGCAAAATTTAAAAGCCTGTCTATCTGAAATGTTGGTAAATAGTGGAATTAGATATTTATATACTGATCGATTGTGGGTACATAAATTAGTACAACTACTTGGAAAATAATTTAGCATTACCTAGTAAAGCTTAATATGCACATTCCACATGACCTAGCAATTATACTCCTAGACACATACTCAAGAAATTCCTGCAGATGGTCACCATGAAACATGAAAAAGCTTCATCAGAGCACTGTTAGATATAACAAACTAAAAAAAATCTGGAAACAACCTAAAGGTCCATCACCAGAAGAGTGAACAAACAAAGTACAGTATAGTCACACAAGGAAATGCAGTTAAATTAATAAATTATGGCTATACATAATATGGATAAAACTCAGGAATATAAATATTTGCTTAAAAATCAAGTTGTAGAAAAATACTTAATGTATAATTTAATTTATATAAAAATAAACAATATATTGTAGGAACTGAACATGTGTAGAAAAACTACAAGGAAAGCAAGGAAACAAAAATTCAGGAAAGTGATGTGCTTTGAGGGGAAAGGGATAAGATATTATTCTTTTTTAAAACCGGGTGGTAGATTCATGGTGTTCACTGCACCATATTTTACATTTTACATATAAAAACAAATAAACATGTATGTTTCTTTATTTACTCAATATTAAAAAATACATTTTCATTTGGTTGCCTGGATTTCTCTATTCATCCAAACAACTCATTTTTTACCTTATGCCAAATTACTCTGTAATTTCTGAACAGTAATAATTTAAAGAAGTTCTGAAGAAGCTTCTTATAAAACTTAAGCAAAAACCTAGACATGTTTTTGGGAGCTCAGGTGTGATGGTATTCAGGGGTTAGAGGCGATGTGAAAAGATCAAATTGACAGTGATTGGTTGTACTGATGTCTGCTCTTTTCCTTCATCCCTCTCCAGACAGTATAATAGTGAGCTCTGGAATCAAATAGATCTGGACTGAAATCCAGCTAATGTCCCCTATTTACTATGTGGCCCTTGGCAAGTTACTTCCATTCTCTGTCCTCCACTGTCTCATATATAAAAACATGAACAACAGTGGTGACGATGAGTACAGAAACTATCATCCATTGAGATTTAGTAAATTCTGGCCACTAAACCAAGTCATTAAGTGCTTAAATATAGTAGGCATATCTAATTTATAAAACTATTATGTTGACAATGAAAATATGGAAAATGCAGAAAAGTAAAAGTATTCTTTTAATTAAAAGTATAAATCCCTCTTTTAGAGGCAACCACTTCTAACTTGTTGGCATATTTCTGTTTTGTTGTTTAAGACAAAGTCATTTAGCACCTTTCTCATGAAAATGTGGTAGGTAGACAAAACAGCAGATCATCTGGAAGTGGTTAGGAATGGAGAATCTCAGGCCCTACACCAGACCTACTGAAATGTAATCTGCCTTTTGACAAGATCTCCAAATTATCCATATGCATATTCAAGTTCTAGAAGCATTTGTAAGTCTTTATCCTTATTAGAGGAATTTTCCCAGGTCAGAAAAAGATTCTCAAATGACTACATGGCAAATGACTGCAATGATAGTTCATCATTTCACCTTATGCAACCAAAATTTACTTAGCTATTTCCCAAACACTGGGCATCTAGATACTTTCGCTTGCCCATATGATAAATTTTTGTGTTCAAATCTGTCTATAGTGTAGAAAAAAAAAATCACCACAAATTCCCCAAAGAATGACCAGGTCAGAAAGGATAGTACTTTTAAGTCTCTTGATACAAAGTGATTTTCAGAAAGATTGTACCAATTTATATTTCCAGCAGTAGAGTATGACACTAACGGAACTATTTAAGGAGACCATGCATGGTATGTTGCAGCGTTGCAAGTTTACAATTTACCGTCAAGAGATTAAGTAGTCTTTTAGTACTTCATTTCTAGTATTCCTGGACACTGGGTGCCCCACAATCATCCTCTCACTATACCTCAAAAGTCAACATATCCAAAATGAATTTAGCACGTCCCACCAAAAAAACTTGTACTCTTTCCTACATGGCTGATATCGATGAGTGGCATACCATACTCAAGTCAGAAACTAACAAGTCATCCTAAAATGCCTCTTCTCATAGCCCACACAATCAATTAAGCACAAGATCCTTTTGATTCTACTTCATAAAACTATCTGCAAATTATATCCCTCTCCAAAGCTTTAGCTCAGGCCCTCATTATGTTTCCCAATGATTACTGAGAGGCCTGCTACCTAGGAATGCTGTTCCCAACCTAACTTCCCCATCAGATGAATTCTTCTAAAATACAAGTCTCATCTTTGTCACTATTTAACCTCCATATTTCACCACATGTAAAAAACAATCAATAAATGTTCAGTGAGGCAACCTAGGTGCCACTTTTTGTTCTCCATGTAGACTACTTATTTCCATGATGGCAGGGGAGCTGAAGTAAGTTATGGATTGGTCAGAAGAACCTAACATATTTGCTGTCAATTCCTGCTACAGAAGTGATGTAAGTACACAGCGTGGGATGAGCTGTAGCATATCCCTTAACCCTTGGTTACTTAATGGTATGCCAAGCTATTCATAACAGACATCCACAGTGACTCTCTTGAAGTGAGGTTTTACCAAAGTTGAGAAGAGTCCAATCCTTACTGTACTATTATAACTGGGGATAGCTTCACTATTCTGGAAATGCTTATATTATGAGGAATAGAGTGAAGAAATAAAATGGAGTCACTATATAGTCAAGCTATGAAATTACTAAAATCAATTAGGTTGAGGTCTGAGGAAATTATTTTATTGTTGTTTTAATCAGCCTGGAACTTAAAATTTTGAATTTTCTAGTTCTGCAGTAATGCCTGGATATACATGATCACTCAATGAAGGACTCATGTATCAAGACCACCTGACATCCATAATCCAGACTGCCTGACACACCCAGGACCAATCCTAGTGCAGAGAATACAGGACTGATTATTCTCAAAAATGCACATTTTACTATAAGAACTCTTAACTTTTTTTTTTTCAAAAACACACCTGAGTTCAAAAAAACCCCGAGTTTTTGCCTAGTGGTGTTTCCAGTTTGTAAATCCTAGGACACTTGAATATCATTTATTTCTAGCCAGAGCCTCCAGGCTCTTTTTTGAGTGTGTTGGACAACTCTTTGAGTGTGTGTTAAGACAGGTGGCAAAACATGCTTCCCCACCCCTGGTTACTTGGTCTGTTTTGGTAAAAAGGGTTTTAGTGGATCATAGCCATGCCCACTTATTCAGCTACTGGGGCAAAGTTGAATAGTTGTAACAGAGACCACTTAGTCCCAAGAGCTTAAAATATTCATTGCCTAGCCTTTTTTAAAAAAAGTCTGCCTACCTTACTTTAAAGCAAGCATGTCAAACTTGTGGCCCACGGGCCCCATGTGGCGCACAACTAATATTTTTGTGGCCCAGCCAATATAACGGTATGTAAGAAGCATTTTAATAAAAATTTTGTAACTTAATTTTTACAATATCCTGTTATACATAATTATTAATAATGAACTACAACGTTCGCTAATGACTGATTACTATAATCGTGTTGCATTTATTTCCCTTAGGTGCCATCCGCGCAGGCACACCATTTCTCTCCACTAATACTAGCAGTGAATATTTTAGCAGCTGATTGCCATGTCATTAGTCTTGGACTGACTTGTTTGGTGTGCGCTACAGGAAATCTTTCACTTTCAGAGAAAAAGAAAAATAGGTTCATTTGCATTACGCTTATTAATTTGTGCAGTAATTCAGTGTCTGGTAAGTTAATGTTCAAGAAAAATATTTTTATTTAAATGTTCTATTATTTTATGTTAATGATGACTCATTTATTTCAGCCCCTTGTATTCAGCATGCCTCTATCGAAATAAACCTATGTTTCTATGAAAATAGAAGCTTTTGGGTTTTTTTGAGGCCCACAGAAACTTAAACCTTATTTGGCCCGTTAGCCTCTGAGTTTGACATGCTTGCTTTGAAGGAATGTTTTATAACCTTCAGACTCTCCTTGGTTCTGAACTCAATCAGCATAATGAGGCCACATCTTTTGGCAGCTAAGGGGAGAAAGTAGTCAGCGGCCCTCTTCTGTAAGGGTGTCTCTACCACCTCCAGCTCTCTCTAGAAGGCTGGTCTAGGCAGTGACCCTAACTCTGACTCAGTGGCCTTTGATCAGGGTGGGTTTATGCTGGGTGTGAGCCGAGGGCCAAGGTCACTGACCCATCCCTCTGAACCTGTTGAACTCTAGAATTCCACACAGGAAAGAATACCTTTCAGAAGGAAAGTCTGCCTCAATCCATTTAAAATATGTATTAAATACCCAAGGTTAAAATTGTCTTACTAGTATCACTGCTTATAAGGGTAAAATTTTAGTAAATGATTTTGGATTTCAAGCCAGACGCTACCACAATTTGGTTGTGTAACCCTAGGCAAGTTACTCATCTCTTCATATGCCTATCCCCTCACCTGTAAAAATGAGCTCTACATCTCAGTTCTAAAAAATAAATCTCACCTAACCGCTGTTTCCAAGAGTTGGCCAATTCTGACAAGATCTTTGATCTTTCCATTGTAATATTTTCCATGTAACTAGGTATCTTCATTCATAACAAGAGTAGTATTTTAAGGCTAACAACATTTTTTTGCTATGCATTACAATGCTATAGTCATTTTTAGAGAATGTCATCTAAGTAAAATCTGTAGGAAGCACAACATTGGAAGCCACTGGAAAGAGAAAACATTAATAAAAAGACATTTCTTGCCCTATGACTTTCATCTAAATCTCATATATATTAAAAGGCATTTAGCAGTAAAACCAAACTCTGGCTACTGAGACTGAGGAAATGCATTTTTAATTTTATTAAGTTTTAATTAGTTTAAGTTTTAATTTAGCCAGATGTAATTAGCGGCCAAGGTATTAAACAGCGCAACTCTAGAAAATCCTAAAATGTTGGAATGTAACAATCCAGTGTTTTCTGCTACACGATGCTTTCTGTAACGCTAATCCTTTCAGTGATATTTTAAGAAGTATATTTTTAATCATATACTATTCTCAGTCTAAAGATATAAAGTGTTTCATCAGAGAGTACATACAAATAAAAAGGATTGTTTTTAAAAAATGAAGTTTTCCTCAGTCCCACATTAAACTGGTAAAGGAGAGGGATGAGAGTATAGAAAACTGTATCACAACTACTAGAACATGCACACAATTGCTCTTTTTTATATTGCCACACTTGGCTCCTAGATTCAGGTCAAAGTCCCTCTGCCCCCACAACAAAAAGGTCCATCTGATACCTAATTATAATATCATTTCTAAATTAGTCCTAACATTTTAGAACTGGGTACACACCCACATTTTAATTATGTTCATTATATTCCCAAGACATTTCCCAATATTCTTTCTAGTTTTTTTAATAGTAAAATGCACAGAACTTTTCTGCATCTACCACTCTTAGCTATCTAATGTCAGCTGCTTCTCCTGCCTATATGGCTCTTCCAGGCACAATAATTACATCAAATTCAATCCTCTGGTTGTCTGCCTTCCTTCCTCTGTTCATACTAAATAAAATCCCCATACTACTAACTTCCTTTTGGGCTCTATAATTAATGCAATCCATGGTTCCTATCCTTATGTTTAGTTAGTAAATTATGTCATCAAGATCTTTGAACTTCAGCCCTGACCGATTTGGCTCAGTGGATGGGGCTTCGGCCTGTGGACTGAAGGGTCCCAGGTTCGATTCTGGCCAAGGGCACATGCCTGGGTTTCGGGCTTGATCCCCAGTAGGGGCATGCAGGAGGCAGCCCATCAATGATTCTCTCTCATCTTGATGTTTCTATCTCTTTATCCCTCTCCCTTACTCTCGGAAATCAACAAATATATATATATATTTAAAAAGATCTTTGAACTTCAAAAATTCATGTCATAAATGTAATCAGATTCTAAACAACTCTAAGCTTTTATTGAGCGAGTTTCTCAATTCAGAATAATAATAGACTACCAACTGTTCACAAATTGACAGACTACTTGGGAATGACATGTATTTCTTTGCTACTATTTCCTATTTGTTAAAAATAGAGCTTCAAAAACCTATGGCAAGCACTGCTGACATAAAAATAAATGAGGCTGTCCCTGCCCTTGGGGAGGTCAGAGTCAAGCAACATAAAAAAAGTTTGCATAAAGCACAGAAGCCCATCTAGGGAAACCATTTTTCTCACGGGGAAGGTCATGTTTGATTACAACGGCAGACTCAGAATATGTCCCCCAGTGGACTCATCTCTTACACGAATAAAATACTACTTTTCTTTGCCTACAAATCCAGTTGATTTAAGTCCCATTCAGATCTCTAAATTAAAATGTTGTGGCTAAGCTTAGTTGAACATCTACCTAGAAGAAAAGTATAAGTTAGCCAAGTATAAAGCCCTACCACCACGCCAGGCTCACCGTGAGAATTCGATACATATTTGCAAAATAAAAGATCGCAAAGGTGGCTCTCACCGTGCCTTCTCTCCAGCCCCTCCTTAATTAGCAAATGTTAGAACACCCGGACCACCTCCGACCTCATTGCACCCACCAGCTAAAGACAGAGTCGCATCACTCATCGCTCCCCACCAACGTGCTCGCACTTCCTCGGCGCCAGGGGGTGGGGTGGGGTGGGGTGGGAAGCTCAGGCTGTTCTCACAGGAACTGGCCACAGTTTGGGGAAACGCGTCCTGCCGCATCCCACGTGGAGGTGAACTTGAGCTCCGCGTGTGTTCAGTTTGGAGACCATCGACAACACAAACAATCATGCCCGGCACTGGACAATCTACCACCACCCTCTTCTGTCTGAAATCGTCACAGCATTTTTCTGATCACCCCCACCGGCCTCAAAGCCAGACCGTCCACGTGGGATGGAAGGCAGGAGAGCCAATCTGATCCTGCGGTCAGAAGACAAGAGCAGCAGACGGGAGAGCAGGGCCGAGAGGGGTAGGACGGTGCGAGGTGACTCGGGGACCCCGAGGTCAGCTCAGGCGGTCTGGGCCGGGAATCCCGGAGTCGTGGCGGCCCTGTGGGAGGGGGAGGGCGAGCGCGTGTCGTCAGCGTGTGCCCTGACTGGCCGGGCCGGGCCGGGGTCCGCCGCCGGCCTCCTTACCCGTGGTAGCCGAAGGCATTG